CCGGCGTGCTCCGTCCCGGCTTTGTAGGGATGCGAGGTCAATGGTCTAACGACTACGGCATGCACGACTATGAGTACCCCCCCCCCCCCCTGTCGCCGCTTCGCCACTCCTCGCTCCCCTTTTCCTCACCTTTTGAAGGATCTCGAGGACCTCCTCCTTGTTAAACTTGCCCTCCACCCCGGCCTTGGCAAGCCTCTGCGTCAACTTTCGCCCCATCTGGATCTCGCTCTCCCGGTTGCCGCCGGCACCCGCCCCCGGCGGGGCCCCTACCGCCGCTGCCTTGCCTGCTGCTGCGCTGTCTGATGTCCCCCCTCCGCCGCTACCGCCGTTCCCCTTCCCTTGCTCCTCCTTCATACGGCGGTGCTGCTTCCAGATGGGCTCCGACGAGCTCTTCATCTGCGGGGCAGGGCCGAGATAGGCAGGTGGGTGGGGGGAACTCAGGGTGCATTTTTTCGATCTTCGATGAAACAGTGTATCCGCGTGTTCCTTCCATGTGTGAGGCGGTACTCGCAGATGTATTTTCGCGACAACCCCAAATCATTTAATGATGGTGTCGATGCTACCAGGCGGTGGCAGCACGCCAGCAAGAAGTCCACACTCGACGAACTTCTACAAGCGTGGCATTCATGTCTCGACTAAAGGCGGGTAAATTACGCACTTGATGGTTCTCACAAAGGCCAGACGAAGACCAACTCCAGCAGCACAAAGCCCAACCACCAGGGTGACACAGGGATGCACCAGCTGAGACACCTGTACAAGAAAGCAAGGCACTTTTCTCCCAATCTCGACAATGAAACGCCTCATCCCCCTGCCTCCCTGCCTCCCTGCCTCCCTCCAACCCAGCCCCTTTACAATCACCTGCGTCAGCCGTTCCTTCTGCTCAGCTTCTTCCCTCTGCCGCTCCTCGGACGCCTTTAACTTCTTCGCCTTCTTCTCTACACCACCCGCGCCACCCGCCCTGTCCCTCTTGTTCCCCACCCCGCGCGCCCCTCCCCCTCCCGAGCTGCCCCCGCCGCCGCTCTCCCCGGCTCTCGCTGAGGCTTCGCGGGCGGCCTCTTCCTTGGAAGGTATCCACCCTTCATCCCGCCCGTACTCCGTAGGGGGGAGGCCGGCGACGAACTCCCTCACAAACGCTAGCGCCCGCGCCTTCGCCCGGCCGGGCTCCATGCTGCCGCCCTGCCTGCGCTTCTTGCCGCTGCTGTTGCCCGGTGCTTCCCCCCCGAATAAAGTGTCGCTGCCGCCGCCGTCGCTGGTGGAAGGCGAGGAGGGACGGGGCCTCTTGGCCTTTTTCTTCCCACCGCCGCCGCCGTTCTTGCGAGGTCGGCCGCGACCATTTTTCTTTCGCCCTCTGCCAGCCTTCGTGGCAACGAAGTCCTTGTCCGATAGCTTGTCGTCCTTGCAAAATATCGAGCATGGCCATCAAAGAGACCGCATATTGTAGCAAGAGATGGGTCAACGGGATTCTCTCGGGAAAACAAGAGAAAATGAGTCCCCGGCAATGCGAAACAGAGGGCCAGCCGACACGGCAAGAAATGCAAGCAACAACACATTTCAAGGCAACGTCATCCCCCCTTCTGCGAATAGCATCCTCATCAAAACGACGCTTCGCGGTCAGTGTCACCAGGCCTCTCTGCAAATAATCTGACTGGTTCCGACCTGGCCTTGAACGGGGTGCGACGAGGAGGTCTCTCGGACATGGGTTCGAAAACGAGCACACACAACCCCCCTCCCCCCCCCTTCCCCCGCTCTCACGCTCTGCCTTCAACCCCTACCTCGTCGTCTTCCTCCGGCTCGCCTTCCACCGTGTACTCCTCTTCGTCGTCGTCATCACCCCCTCCCTCCTCTTCCTCCTCCTCCTCCTCCTCCTCCTCCTCTTCCTCCTCCTCCTTCTCTTCCGCCTCCTCCTCCTCCTCCTCCATAGGTCCGTCCTCCTGTTTCTCCTCCTCCTCCGCCCCCTCCTCCGCCTCTGGCACGGGCAGCTCGTACTCGACCCCCCCAGAGGACACCGGTGAGGGCGGGTCCGCGTCCAGCTCCTTGACCGGTAGCGGCGTCTTCCGCGGACGGCCTCGACCTCGCTTCTTAGGGGGCTCCGCAGATGCAGCCGTCGGCGTTCGGCTGGTCGCGGTATTGTTCGCCTTCTTGGGTGTACTGCTGTTCTTCTTGTTCCCGGTCCAGCGGCCCACCATGTGGATCTCGGCGAGCCTTTCCGACCTTCCAAGACGCAGTACGGAGGAGCGGTTACTATTACAAAAGCTCCCGACGAGAGCAGACACAAAGCTGGCAATTTGTTGCGGCAGGGATGGATGGGGCTATTGCTTCTGCTGCTACCGCAGGGACAGACTACTATCACTACTTGTGAACATCGTTAAACGAGAACGTGAGGCAAGCGAGCGGGATGCACCGCCAGGCCGTTTCATCCGCAGTGGCGTACCAACCGTACGCAACGTCCTGCTGGAACAGGGTGTCTGTTAAGAATTGCTCCCCGCGGTCCTGCTCTCTTTTTGACCCGTCATCTACATTTATGCGAACATCGCCCCCGCCCCCGCCCTCGCAACGACACTATCTACGCATCGGCGCAAACAGCAGTAGGAATTGTGAATACTTCTAGGACAAGCTGTACGGGTATGATGTGGTAGTTCGTACAAGTTAATAATACAAGATTGATACTCACTTGGTGAGAAGAGACGCCTCTACAGCGGTCTGCACGTCCTCCTTGAGGGTATCCTTCTTCTTCGCGCCGTTGCATGCCTTCAGGTGGGTTGGCAGCTCAGTCGCGTCGAAAGGCTTGATTCTCCTGAAACAAAAAAAACACAGAGGCACGCAAGTGGTTTGTAACTCGCTTGTTTTGCTACTGTCCACTTTGCCTGGCGAGGTAATATCTTGGCCAACGGGACAGCGCGAACCACGATACCACGCAAGAAAAAACACACGGCCCTTGCTCGCGCCGTAAAAGCACACAACATCATGCGATTCACTCTGCGCATTCGTCACCCTTGCCCCTGCGGTACACGGCACAAGCTCAACCACGAAGCGGGAAGGATGCAAAGAAAAAGAGGGACAGAACCACCGAACCTCATGCGCAAGATATGCCGATGATTCCTTCACATCCTTCGAGCCGGCTACCGATGCGATCAAGGACAACACGGGGGCACACCACTAGCCGTACCGTACCTCAGGCGAAAGCGGCTTGCATGAGATACACTTGCTCCACTTTTGGCGCGGTCAGGGCAAACACCGCCACGCCGAAATGAGCAATTGAACGCACTAGATGGGCAAACATTTTCGTCCAGTCCAGTAGGGAGCTGTATCCGCGGTTGCCAAGGAACTGGCTGTGGTGACGCCCGTGTTCAATCAACGCGTGCAACCCTCGCGGCACGGTCGCCGTAAGCAAAAAATCAACACAAGCATGCAAGGCGAGGCTTGCCACACAAGAACAAAACAGAGAACCATATACATGCGCGATTCGTCGTCGTGTACCTGGCCTGATGAGAACAACTATCAGCCCACGTGACTGACACAGGTACTACCACCACCACCAACGACTGCATCATTAGCTTAAGCAGCAGCAGCAGCAGCAGCGGCACAAGGAAATCGACCCCTCCTCACTTGTAGGGCACGCAGGCGAAGGAGTTCTTGGCGGCGGTGTAGAACTTGACCAGGTGGCTCTTGCCGACAGCGGCGTAGGCCATCCGGGCCACGCCACGGGCGACCTTGTCATTGCCCAAGAACCTCGGATCCCACACCAGGGCCGGCCAAGGGGGATTGCCCATCTTCGCCCAGACCACCTGTGGCGTAGATGTTGTTGCATCATGTAATTGTGTGGGTAATGACGGATGGTTATGTATGGTAGGGTCCCGTGGGGGCGGGGGGGGGATACGCATATCGCGGGGCCGCCCATAGGCTGGACCGCGGAAGGTATACCTTCCGGTCTTGCGGGCGTAACGCCGATCTATGCGGATGCGTGGAGGCTTGGACGACGGAGATAGCGCGAGGAGCCGTGAACAATGCCGAGCACGCCAGGACAAGTCTACCGTAGGTTGCATAAGATACCACACCCGTGTGACAACATTTTGCGGGGGACAAAAGTTATCACACGGGTGTGGTATTCTGTAGGGGGCGTGATATCTTATGTCACTCGTGTGATAAAAGTGCACTCACAGAGCCCCGCCAACAGGGGGTGCGATAACAATGGGGTGTGATGCCGTCGCCCGTGTGATGAAGCGCGCTCACAGGACCCGGCTTACAAGGGGTGTGATAACTTCACCCGCGCGATGAAGCGCGCACGCAGGACCCGGCCTGTCGGGGGTGTGATAATGTCGCCCGTGTGGTTGCAGTGCGCTCACGGGACCCTACCTACGGGGATGTGAAAATAATGTCACCCGAGTGATGCAACTCAAAGGAGGCACCCACCTACAAAGGGCGTGAAGGGGTGTAAAACAGGTGTGATAGCTAGGGTGGCTCACGCCACTCCATCACGTACATGCTTTGTTACGTGCATTGTCGCAGTATCCTTTGGAAATTCTTCGCATACACAACGAACACGTAGTACCGATGCATCAAAGCGGTTGTGCCGGTGCTATGTGCGACAAAACGACAGCACACAGGTACCTGGACGACGCAACCACTTGCAAGACTTGCGTTCACCACTCAAGCTAGAACTACATAGGACGCAAGCAAGTGCCAGCTAGATATCAACCAAAGCTAGAAACATCCAAAGAGGACAAGCGACTACCGAAACATATAAAACACAGGACTAATTGGCTCGAATCGCAGCTTTGGTTGACTTGTCCATGGCATGGAACTGCGGTAGGTAGATACCAGACAAGGCACTCAGTCTATGCAAACAACGTCCGCCCCCGGCAAGTCTACCATGACCTCAACCTCTGGGTCATCGATGCCTGCGCCATCTCCCGTGCTGTCATCGTCGATTTCCAACACCTCCCGCAAGTCTGCCATCGTCTCCCCCTCCTCCGATGGGCCAGCCTCCTCCACGCCGGCAGCGGCCGCGTCGCCGTCTGCACGAAGTGTTTTCCCTTGGGCGTCGGAATTGAGCTCCTTGTTGGCCCACGCCTCGCCTTCAGACCCATCGAAGGCAAGGGCCATGCCAGCCCTCCTCCAGCTCGAACGGATGCTCTCAGGGTCCACTTTTTCCCACGCTTTCTTCACCCACTGCGCGAGCAATCCCCTCGATGGGGGCTCCGGGTAGCCGCGGTCGTTGCGCACGGCGTCGGTGGAGGCCATGTGGTCGTCGTACAGCCTGGACAAGTTGGACTTGAAGAGTTTGTTGATAAGTCCATCGCAAGGCTGGATCTTGGGCGTTAGGCCTCCGAGGACGAAAAAAAGCGTTGTGTTAGACTTGTCCATCGCTTCCTTGCACACGGCTGTCTTGTGCAAGGTGTAATCGTCCCACGATAGCAGCGTGTCCGGCTAACGGTAGTTGCCCATGAACCCCTCACGACCCGGGCGCCGGTTCCATACTTGGGGGAGCCAAACATCCCTGAAGACGCGCTGCGTGTGGCACGCCTTGTCGTCCACGGCGTACAAAACGCTCTGAGGGTATGCTAGCCCCTTCTTGTCCTTGCCCACCTTAAACTCTCGTTCGACGCTGTTTGCAGCGGGGGGTTTTCCCGGCGCCGTGGGCTTACCCTTGAAGATGAGCAGCGGCGGGAGTGTGCCGCCCTTGATGTTTGCTGCAAGCACGGCAGTGATCCGCAACCTTTCCTTTCCACCGGTTTTGATGGCCACCTCTTTCTGACCGGTGTGCTGCGAACGATGAAAATAAAAAGCAAGAAGCAATAGAGACAGCAGAGGCGACGAAAAAAGTCAATTTTGTAGATGAGAATGATAGCTCTTTACGCAAACATATTGGTTTTGCAGTACAGTGATGATGGAAGCGAATGGTAAGAAAATTCTAACGTGGCATAAGCACATTACCAACGTCGTCTAGCCTTACTGGCTGGACACTGAGTAGGTATACGGCAATAAATATGGCATCACAATGCCCACTCTTTGCACGGAATGCCAAGAAACGACAAGACAGGCACATGATTCAAAGCAACACTATTTGTACTGACCGCCGCGGTCGACGTGCCAGCGGCCTCCATCCACACAGCAGTTTCATCCATGCTGTAGCTCTGCTCCTCCTTCAACAACAGAGATGGCTTCGAAGGCGCACTGCTCGCTGCCCCCCCCGTGCACCGTCCTCCCCCACCGTCGATTCCTCCGTGACGAAGCGCCCTACATTCCTTGGCGGCTTTCATGGCAATCGCAGGCCACCCGGAAGGGAGTTTTTGGCCTTGCCTGGTAACCGCCCGAATGACAACCGGTTCTTCTTGAGAAACCTCCTGCACCAGTGAGTCTGCTTGTTGCGGTACTTTCTACTGCCCTCCAGGTCGTTCGCTACAGACCTCGGGCCGAACCAAAGCGAGTTAAGCGATACCGCCTTGTTCGTGATCATCCTTGTAGAGACACGGGCAGAGATGGCTTCCGTACGAACATCGTTGATCCAGTCGAGAAGCTCGAGCTCGGCCTCTGCGTTTGACCGAACCCTCCCCGTGTTGAACAACTTTACGCTCCGGGCTTTTTTGCTTGCCTTTGGCCCCCGAGCTGGTCTGCCCTCTCCAGCTGCTTCTCGTTTTTCGTTCTGTCTTTTATCCATGCTGGGAGTGTGATTTTCTCGGAAATCCCAAGCACTCGTTGAACATACGACACACCGATGGTTCCATTAGGCCCCTGCGCCCCCGGGCTTTGCATGGTCGCGTGCTAAAATGGCGTTTACTTTGAATTCCAAATCATACCGCTTGCGTTTCTGGCCACCACCATACTTCATGGGGAAGTTCGGTGGCTCCAATTCCAGTGGCTCTCTTTTCCTCTTGCCCTTGCCCTTGTCCTCAGCCGGCGTGCCGTCGAGACGCCCACCGAAACCATCTGTCCACCCCTCTGACTCTCCAGGAAACATGCTGTCGCCGACGGGCGCCGCTGCGGTTGCTGTCGCGGTGCGTCAGGCGNGCTGTCGTCGGTGCTTCAGGCAGCTGCACGTTCCTGAAAAGCGCATGAGTTCGAGGAAGCAACGAAACATGTAGCATACGTGTCGTTAAGTGCAGTGTCTGTAACAATGCGCTCGCTCCAACGACCATCAGACAAACGTACCAAAAAGACGATGGCTAGCGGATAGCTCTGACAACGCCCACCAGGTTGAGAGTCATGGCGTCCACGCTTGCAAGGTACAGAGGGTGAGCAGCTGACGCCACCTACTTCTCATCTCACACAAACAGGCACGAACTGCTGTCGAGGTTATGTTTCTATTTGCACGTGTAGGGTACGGGTTTCGCAGTCTTCCCACCAAAACATCACAACACACAAAAAACGGTATGCGGAAACGTGTCGCGTGTGAAAGAGAGAGCAAGTAAACATTACGCCTACAACGCACAACGATATATTTGAACTACAAGTAAATATAATGTGTACATGTCAAAATACAGTGAGGCGAGCGCGACGACACGACGTGAAAATCACATTATTTTTTCCATCTGGAAATCGATCAGGCAATCAGGGGTGTCCTGTTCTTTGGTTTGCTTGAGCCATGAGAATCCTCACAAACACCCATGTGCTGCAAACTGCAAGACGCTCTGCGCACACCTTATTTTGGTGTAGACGTCGCCAGGCTTCGCATGCCTGCCGCAAAACTCCAGCATATCCTTCCCTGGCTCTGCCCACAAGGGCTTGTTGGTGCACGATGGTTCTCCGCAGCGCGGTGCTGCTGCAGGGTTCTCAGCAGTAGCCGCGCTCAGGGTGTTGGTGGTTGGCGGGAGAGCTGCCTTTTCGGGTGCGGGTGTGGGTGCTGTGGACTCTCAACAGTAGGTTCTGCTTCGCGGGTTTCAGCGGCACCCGCGGTGGCAGGCGTAGCCGGTGCTGTGGGAGTCTCAGCAGCGGTAGATTCTGTTGGGCGGGCCTCAGCAGTACGTGCGGTGTCATCCGCGGCTGCTGAGGGAGTCGTCCCAGCAGCCCCACGTTCCCCGGGGCGGGTTCAAAGAAGGACGCTATGGAGCGTTGGGCCGCCGCTGGAGTCTTACCCACTGCAGTCTGAGCCGCGGGGCTTTCAGCAGGGTTGCTAACTGCACCACCCTCCACGGCATTGTTGGCCTCCATGGCCTTTGCGAGTAGCTTGTTGCTTGTGATCTCATGCCCTCACGTTGTCACACCGTATGATAAGCGGGGGCTCCGTCGATAAAATGCGGCCCAACTTCAGGGATGTGGTATATTGTGTCACCGTGTGATAAAATGACGCTTTTTTTGGGTTTGAAAAAAATAGCACACGGGTGTGGTATTGTGTACGTTTTCTAAGGGGGTGTGGTATCTAATGAAAGTGTGATATCATATGCAACCTACGGTACTTATTTTTTTTTGTATCGGCGGGGTTCGGCACGCTTACCCGCGCGGATGGCTGAAATACACACGTCACAACAAGCGAAGCAATCAATTAGACGATTTTGTTCGGACAGGCCCTGTTCCACCCGCAGCCATTGGCATAAGACATGCCTGGTTTGCCTGCTACAGGATTAGCGCTTCATTTCCCAGCTTCTGCTCGTGTGTGGAGCTGCGAACGGCCGCTTCAAACCTAAGTATGTCTTTCAGCACGAGCGGGATCCTCCAACAAAAAATTTGTCCGATGCGTACATCTACTTCTTGAGACAACCGTGTAGGCAGACCCATAAGTTCTACCGGTACAACACATAAGACTACAACTTGGACTCATGATGTATGTAACCATAACCTAGCGTACCTATAGTTCCACTAATCCTCGCGTAGAACAGAGTGATACATAGGTTCCACTTGCCACTACTGCCGTGGGGAACAGGGCCGACCAGCTCTGAAACATGTGCGACCGCGGTGGTTTTCAGCTTTCGAACAGCAAGGCATATTCAAATTTGCGAAGTCTCCGTCCGGGGCTTTCGGTGTTTCCGTTTGCTCACATGCACACACCATTCCAAGACCGGCTCTCTCTCTCTCTCTCTCTCTCTCTCTCTCTCTCTCTCTCTCTCTCTCTCT